GAAAAAAAAAGAAAAAAAAGAAGGGGGGGAGGAGGGGGGGGGGGGGGGGGAAAAAAAAAAAAAGAGGGGGGGGGGGGGGGGGGGGGGGGGGGGGTCGGGGAGCATTTTCGTCATCACGTGGCCATGGGTGGTCTCCGAGGACGATAAAGAGCGTCTTGCTCATCGCTGGACAGCAATAAACCAACCCCGCTATTAATAGCTGGATACGACTCTTCCAAAGCCACCTGCGGTGGATTGGGGAGCGGAAAAGTCTTCCGACCACCCGGCCCTCGCCCTGCTACCGTTGACTAATCTCTACTCTTCCGAGACCTTTCCTCCTTGCCGAACCTCTAAAGCAAGCAAGCTGCCGGCCCCCCGGTTCAACATTACCACGACCTACCCTTCCAGCTGTAGAGGGCAGGTAATAATAGCCTGCGTCCAAAAAAAAGAAAAAAAAAGAACGCACCTTGACCAGCAAGTGCCGCTCCTGGTCCTCCAGCGTGGGGGACATGAGGAGCGGGAGGATCTGGTTGAAGAGCGGGCCGGCGCCGAAGTCCCTGGCCTTGTCGGTGATCTGGCGAAGGGCCGTCTTTCGCTGCGGCGGCGTGCCGTTCTTGATCTTGAGCAGCATGCGGAGAATCTTCCGCTCCTTGGCCTCCTCGGCGTTGAGCTCCTCGTCGTCCACCTCGTCCATCAGCTTGCCGAAGTACTGTAATTCGTGCCAGGAAGTTTCGGGGGGTAGGGGGGGTGGGGGGGGTCTACGAGTGTAAAGGCATGCCGTATGTCGCTGTTAGAATATCGTCCATCAGTTTGCTGAAGTACTGTAATGCGTGGTAAAAAGTTTTCGGGGTGTAGGCCGGGGGGGGATGTACTCATAGCCGTGCATGCCGTAGTCGTTAGACCATTGATCACGCATCCCTACAAAGCCGGGACGGAGCACGCCGGGTTCTCACCTGGCCAGGCTCTGGGGGGGGGGATTGGCCACAAGAGCTTTTCACGTGATCGGAGGTTATCTTGGGAGGGAGGGGGGCGGAGACGCACAAAACATACTTCTATGTAAGATTGCCTCATCGGAGGGTGTGCGTACATGTGCTGTTAGGTATCTACTATGTCTAGGCGAACATTGCAGCCGAAGAACTGTACCAGACGATTTTGTTTTTTGTTTGAACAATAAAAAGGCCTACGCTCAGCAAAAACCCATGCCAAGGACGACGAACCATCTGACCCCAGAGAGCGCCGATTTTTTCCTGGTGGGCCCTACCTTCGTTGGTATTTGGAGACATTTTTATCTAGGAAATAGAGGCATGTCGTTGGTATGTGGCGACACATTTGAAAAGGGGCACCGCAGACACACATCACTTGCCGACTCGGCATGACACAGCCCCCACCGCCCACACCGCCCAAAGAGCACGCAGCACACAGAGGAGGAGGGGTTTGCGGGACATGGAAGCAACATGTCCGCGCTGCTGCTGCCGTTGCTGTGCTGCTGCAGTGGCAAGAAAAGAGGTGGTAGCTTGTAGCCGCCGAAAAGAAGCAACTGTTGATCATGATCGCCAGAAGCTGCTGTACCACCCACCGCACAACAAGAGGCTGGCACACTGGCGAAATATCGCACTCCGTATGCATACGCCATCACTATTTACTATTCTCTCTCCCTGCTGTGGTTGTTGTTGTTAGTTGTTGTTAGTGGTGGTGGTGTAGATGGGAGGACTGCTGCTGCGCAGAGAGAAATAAAGACTTTTCTTTCTTTTTTGCAGTACGTTGGGATCTCGCGGGCATCGTACAGCAGTAGCAGTAGGGATGTTCATCTCATCGCACATTTGCACGCAGCACAAGCAAGCGCGGGTCTCATGTGGCACTAACATCTTACAACTACTTCCTGCTGTTGCTGGTGTTCTTTGTGGTGGCGTTTACACGGCTGCGAAGATGAATGAAAACGAGAGACGCTCTTGTTTTATTGCTGTTGGGGGGTTCAATCTACCGCAGTACATACATAGATAGGAGAGGGATCTTGCATACCATCACAAGCGCGGCTTTCATGGCAGCACCACCTCGCTCTACATGTTTGCTGCTCCCATCACCGCTCATACTGTTGCGCTTGACTACTGCCGGCCGTGCTTGCTTGCACGACGCCGGTGTGCTTGTTGATATGCACCTGTGATGTAATCTGTGGGCAGATGGTTTATTGGCCAGATGCTACTTCTGTAGGCGGTGACTTTTTCGTGAGCACTACTGAAAAAACAGCATCGAGAGAGGACAACGGGACGATCATCGAAAGTGAAGACAGACCGATAGGAGCTTGCCTGCTCTCTGGACACCTACTGCAGAAGCCAGCGTGTGAATCGACTTCGCGGTCATCGAGACAACCGGCATAACAGCGGCAGGAGTTTCGCGAACGAAGGCCCTAACATTCTTCTTCTTTTTTCCAGGCTCTACAATTACCAGCAAAAAAATCGCCCCAGGGAGCATTACAGCAGTCTTCGTTCGCACCCCAAGAACTCAATCAATGCCGACAAAAAATAATCCGTCTCACCTGGTAATCCTCCGGCTTGATGAAGGGCAGAGAGCTCTCCGTGGGCGTCGCCGGCACCCCATACTCCTCCCTGGCCGGTGTCTGCATCATCTTGAAACCGGGCGTCATCGGCATCGGCGTGGGAGTCGCCAGCAACCGTCTTGACGGCGTGCGGATGGGCGCGTACCCCACCGGCGCGTTCTAGGATTCGGTACCTGCGGTGTGACAGATTGAAGGGAGGGGGGGGGGGGGTGCTCATGTAAACGCATATAGAGTTCAAGTAGGCAACACCCGCTAAGGAGACGATCAACAGCAACAAAGGGTGGGTACAAACTTGCCAAACCGACGGCAACACAAAAATTTTTTCGCCCCCCCTCCCCCCCCGCCCCCCTCGGAT